AGAAGGGTAAGCCCCGCGGTCTTGCAACTCTTGGTCTCGGATCAGCCACCTTGTCCCATCCGAAGGTTGACACCTTTCCACTCTACGCGCTGCGTAAGAAGGGCACGCCATGCGCACCGAGGTACGCGCAGCGTAACCGAGGAGTCCGACCTATAAAAGGGATGTGAGGGCTGCCAGAATTTCACACCAAAACCCACTTCTTTCTCTCTTTAACTTCTCTCTAGCCCTTCGAAAGCCCTAGTAACCTCCCTAGTGTTTGAGGAAAGCCCCGGAGTGCCAGGAGGCTCCGAGAAAAAGAGCTTTTCGGCTCGGAAAGTTCTGCCCCCGCAGAGCCCGGTTTCTAGCAAACCTCCCGATAAGTGAGTACTGTTTACCCTAATTTAAGTATGGCTTAGGTTTAAATTTATGATCGTTATTATAAACTTATACATTATAAAATATGATATAAAAAGTGTTATTATAATATTTTTTTTGACTACTCGCGGTACGGGGAATCTGGTTTGAAGGGCTGCATAGGGTTGTTGGATTTCAGAAGTGCTATAATGCAAAAATGGTTCTGCCCTCCGGTGTTTCATGTCTGGCCCCTGTCTGTACATAGTGGTTGAAAAATATTTTTTAACACTTATAAAATAATATCGCTCGTAATTACTCGCGATAAATATTATACTAAAATCTAGTGGTAATAATACTAGGTTTCGTCGAAGGAAATTGTATTGTTAAGAAGCGAAGCGATGTCCAAGTTGGAATCACCACTTTAACAAGTGAGTGCATAGTCACTTTCATCTTACGCTTAGATATGAAGTATTTAATATAAATTATATGCTATGTGTGGATATTATTTGTGTTCCTGATATCCATGTTGGATGAACGATTTATACATGTTTTAAATGATTTAAATTGTATATGTATTTTATATCTACGAATATGTTGGGTAGAACATGGGTAGATAAACGATGATGGATGAAAGATGATATAGATGAATATTGGCAGCTGCGCCACGATATAAAAAGATGAGAGATGAAAGATGATATAGACAATGAGAGGTGTAAGATATGAGAAGCCTTGAACCAAACGATGGCCCAATCATCTAGCAGAGTATAGATGACAACCACATACTATTCTAGACCGTCCAGTGGAACACTAGCATGCTCGCAACCTGTAGCTGTTGTAAACGATGTGTTCACCAGATGTACTCTAAATATACTGGCAGCTGCGCCTAATGGATAATATTGGGCAGCTGTGGCTAACTTTTGAACTACGCGTTCACCGGATGTATTCTAAAAACTCTGGCAGCTATGGACTTAGTGCCTCATGAAAGAACATTGGCAGTTGTGCCTAACATCGGTAGCTATGATCTTAGTACTTGTTATATAAACCCTGGTAGCGATGGAATTCGTGCCTATACCTTAGGATAATCCTTAGGAATGATTGAATGAAGTATAGCTGATTCTTCGGGTAGATCCTTAAGAATAAAGAAGATAATGAGGATGGGTAATTGGGTTGATTGTTTGATGATTAAACATAATAATTATATTATTGTGGGTTGAAAACCCTATGTACTCACCAGGTTTCCCAACCTGACCCACTCAGTTTATTTGTATCACAGGTTGTCGATACGAAGCTACATTACACTAAGAGATTAAAGGAGATGTAAATTACTAGTCTAAATGAATGTAAGGTCTGTTTATGCTTATGTTTCTGTATTGACAATGACATCCCAAAGTTTTAATATAAACAAAATACATTTCTTCGGAAATGATTTGATAATATCTTATCATGTTTTTCTGGGAACAAATTCCACAATACTTTTCTTTAAAAGGATACTATGATTTTAAAAATAAAGCATAAAAAAATCGGTCTTTTCTGGCCGTAAAATGGGGATGTCACAGTTGGTATCAGAGCATTATTTTAAGCGAACTAGGAATTTTAGGAAATTTCTAGACTTAAACTTAGAATGCTAAGTGATAATTGTGAGATGAGTGTCTGCTATATTTAGGATGTATGCTTGAATAGACACGAGCACTAACTTATTTAAGGAAAGATGCCTAAAATGCTTTTATGTGCTAAATTATTTATGATACCTTATGATGCTATCGTTTGATTGGATCTATGGTCTGTTGCCGACCGGATCTTTAAACTTTATGTGTTCAGATTTCTAAACGTTTAATTACGGTATTAGAAATGACATATAACTTTCCAAAAAGATAAGAAGATTTATATGTCTATCGTAAATAAAGCTTTCCTATCTAAATTCTCGTCACCGTACATCGAACGTCTGATTTGGTGTATAGATCGACATGGTGAGAACTCGAAGCGGATTAGGAAATGCTAATGGAAACCAACAACCACGAGTGATTGAGCGTGCACCAGAAGTAACAGCTGCACCGGAACCAATCACGATGGCGGGAGTCCAATAAATGTTTCGGGCTATGATGGCCGAACAAAGGGAGGTGATGAGACAAATGTTTCTTAATAGAGATGAACCTACTGTACCCATGGTACAACCCAAACTGAATGAAGATCTGTCGGAGGAAGGAAACTACAGCCGTACTGTGAGTCAAGTTGAACCTTGAGTGGTCAGGAGGAACGACCCCGACAGAAGGATTTACAGGGATGGGCGCATGTATAAGAACTTATTGGGTGCCAAACCACCAAGTCTTTATGGAAGCCCAAAGCCAGTGGAAATTATGGACTGGATCTCCGAGATGGAGATGGTATTTGAAAGCTGCAATTGCAGCGATAAGCAAAAGACCGTCTTTGCAGTCAGACAACTAAAGACCGGAGTTTTATGTTGGTGGAAGTTGTTGGCAGATACAATGCCACGGGGAGAAGCCATGCGGATGTCTTGGGAAGCATTCATGGAGTAGTTGAAAAGGCAATACTACTCAGAGATAAATCTGATAGACCTAAACAATGAGTTTCAGAACCTGAAGAAAGGGAACATGAGTGTTGATGAGTTTGCCACCGCATTTACTGAGATGATGAAGCTGTTTCCCTACTTGGTTCCTACTGAGCTCTCCAATATAGATAGGTTTGCTAACGGACTGCCAACAGATTTTGTCCCGACGGTCAAAATGGCAACTACTTTGAAGACAACCGTTAGAGCAGCTAAGAATGTTGAGACCCAGATAAGAGAAAAGGGTCTAGAAAAAGATAAGGCAGGAGAAAAGAGAAAGTTTGAAGGATCTTCAAGGTCCAACGAGAAGAGAAAATTCTTGAAGTTTGGTTCGAAGGAGGAGGAGGTGAAGCAAGATGGTGCGATAAGTGCAAGAAGAAACACTTTGGAAAATGTGGCGAGTAGGTGACATGTTTAAGTGTGGAAAGTCTGGGCATTACGCCAATTAGTGTACATTCAATAAAAGGGTGTGTTACGAATGTAATGAAGAAGGGCACTTCAAGCAAGACTTCCCAAAGAGGGAAGGAGCTACAAAACCAAATGCACCGCCAAAGCCAAAGGCAAAAGCATTCCAGATGATCCTTGACAAAGCAGATAACAATCACTACAAGAAAAAGACTCTTTTACGACGCGTAAACCACGCCAATCATTGATTTATGTTACGCAAAAGTCAATGACATTAAAAAAGTGTCATCTCTTCAAAAAATTTAAGGATTTAGGTCACGCATTATTGCGTGACCTTAAATTAGTGTCATAAGAAAAAAATTAAAAACACGGAGGGAGCTGTATCTTAAATGCGCGTCCTCTATAAGTATCGCTTTATAATTTTAATGAAAGGCGCGTTTAGTAGATACAGGGGAAAATGAAATCCCCAAAATTTTGAAAACCCGCCTTAATTTCTCTCCATTTCTCTCTTACGATCATCATGGCAACCCTAGCTAGCTTAATTTCTCTCCATTTCTCTCTGACGATCGAAGGACAAAACAAGACACAAATTTCACTTGCACAAGAGTTGGTGATTTTTCTCTTCATTTCTTTTCGAGTTAGGAACAAAGACACATAGAACTTAATTTAGCGGCTACCATAGCTTTCACTTCCAGAAGAGTTGCTAAGAGTCGGTGATTCCTTCTAGGGTTCGACAAGCTTAATCCATATCTCGACATCTTACCTCCTACATCATATTTCTTCAACCATTTGTGACCATTCTAGCGTTTAACATGCTCTTTAGCATTCTAGGGTTCGACATCTTACCTCCTAGGAACATGTTGGTTCTTATCTGTTGAGATTCTTTAACATTGTTCACTAGCGTTCTAACCTTTCTCTGGATAGGCATCGACTCCAAGGTAAGAATAGATATGTTACATTACTTTATACAATCCTATCATCGATTTGATTTAATTTCGTTTTCCATGCTCTGATTCCCATTTATTCATAAAGAAAATTTATGCATTCTAGCCATTCGATGAAATGCCTGACTTAAATTAAAAAATTCTAGAATCAGAATAAGAATTGTTAATGTCTATTAAATAAACGTAACAAAAGCATCTTCCTTCATGTGTTTTGAAAAACGTACTGGAAGAAAAATTAAATAAGCAAATATAGAAAAACGTTTTTCTATATTTTGGTATATTGTGCTAATTTTCCTTCGCTCCTTTTTGGGAACAGATGGTGTATGTTTTGCTTATATACAACAAGAAAGAGAAATATCACCAGATGACTGTATGTGATCTTTGCTCCTTTCTTTCTTCACGTATAAGGAACATTTTTCTAATGGGTAAGTAGCAACTGTTTTGGAGTTGAATAAAATGTATCTTTTGTATGTAGATGGCAGCTTTTAACATCCAAGAGGCACTTATCTGGAAAGAAAAAATTGAACCGATCAGGTATCTTTTCTTACAAATTCATATTATCTGTATAACCAAATCTTTGCTAACTATTGTGTTAATGTTCATTTTATGTCAAGAAAAAGTTTGACATGTATGATCAAGTCTTGTCATTTTGACTTACTGATCACATACATGTTTGACTTTTAAATGACTTGAAGCATCAGGAGTCCCTAGCTACTAATGGGAATAACTATCAGTCTTTTGAATATAAATCTGGAATGGATAGTGGAATAAATGTTTCCTCATCAGATCAGGGAAGTCAGTAAGTAAACGTCACTTGTATTCTGCATTTGATAGTTAATATTACACGTTTATACACTTTATAGCCATTATCTTGTGTTACTTTAAGTATAGTTTTAGCTGTTCCTGGTTTGTAGGTATAGTGCTGCTGAAGATGAAGATGATTCAAATCCAAGTTTACTTCGAAGAACAACAATTGGAAATGGTATAATTGGTTTCTTCATTTGTTTGATATAATATTAATCAGTCTTTTGCATACTTTTCTACATTTCTATAGCTCCTTTATCTGGCATTGGTAGGTCCTCCTAAATCTATATTGGACTGGACTCAAGAAAGTTCTACATTAGCAACCCAAAATGCAACTAATCAAGCAATTTCTAGGAAACACTGGAGGCTTCTTCAATGCCAGAATGGTAACATAGTCTTATTAACTACTCTGTTACTTAAAGTAATGGAGTAATGGGTATTAATGGGATTTCTCTTGTTAAAATTTCCAGGACTTCGTATCTTTGAAGAGCTTCTTGAAGTTGATTTTCTTGTATGGATTATCTGCTTATATCTCTGTTCTTGCATTTACATAATTACAACACTGTAATAGGAAAAAAAATTCATGTTATTCTTTTATGCAGCCAAAGAGCTGTAGTAGGGCTATGAAGGCTTCTGGTGTTGTGGAAGCCAGTTGTGAAGAAGTATTTGAGTATATAATGAGTATGGATGGAACACGTTCTGAGTGAGTTTTGTTTAAAATTCATTTATGCTATGGTGTTCCTTTATTTTATATATAATTATCTTTTCTCCATAGCCTGATATATTTATTCATTAAACATATGCAGGTGGGACTGTAATTTCCAGGATGGTAGCCTAGTTGAGGAGGTGGATGGTGTTCCTTCATTTTTCATAAATGTTCTACTTTTCTTTTGATGTTTAACTATTTTCTTGATGTTGTTGGTTGGTTTAATTAGGTAAATGATTAAATCATGAACGGAATTAGCTTGGTGATATCAAAGCTTTGTTGTCTGATGTATAATTTTGGTACAGTTAAAAAGATTAATTTTGGTACAATTAGAAAGATAGAATTAATCCCATGTCGATTATCAAGCTTGCACCTTCAAAGAATTTCTCTTCCTATAGCAACTACATGTATGTTGAAACCTTATGCATATTCAGTATCTGCTATTAAAGATGGAAAGGGTGGTTTGATATCTGAAGTAGCTAAAGTTAGTTGTGTTCTGTTACTGTATTTCTTGCTTCATTTTCGTATCATTGGTATAACTTTATTAGCTAAACACAAGGATCTTGTTATACAATCTATTGCGACTATGGGAGCGATTGGAGGTAAGTTCATTCGCATTGTCCTATGCCTAAATCTGTTATATTTCAGGAAATTTGATATCAAGTGGTTTTTACCTAGTGATTCTGCCTCTTTTTGCTGCTGCACGTATTCTAGGCTTTATCACAAATTGGTTTTTAGGAATACTACTTGACAAAGCCTTTTCGATTGGAGATATAATAAAAGTATATAATTAAGTTCTCTTTTATTTAATCTCTCGTATGAAGTTGTTCTTATTTTGAGTGTGTTGACTGCAGGTTGGATCTGGGAAAGGTCAAGTTATTGAGATGGGACTCATAACCACCTCATTGCTTAGTGGCGACAATTCTCCTATACTAGTTCCAAATCTCATGTTTTCTAGTGAGGTGACCATTAGTTCTTTCCTCCCTACCCATAAAAGTTTTATTTCACAACATAGTTTTTCTTTTTCATAGCCTATTATAAAGAACACAACTGCTTTTTGGCATGCAATGAAGTCCAAGATATTTCTTGGAGATGATGAGACTAAGGAGATCTACAAGATGGTAAAAGAAATAAAAAATAAAGTGAAATCAAACTCAAACGTTTACTGGGAGGGAGAGCAACCTTATTGTTGGCTTTGTCAGGTGGACAAAAATTGTGTAGAGCTTAATTTTGGATGCAATCTAAACAAGATGGTAGGTAATCGTATTCTCACCAAATATTATTATGTGCACATTTTATCTTGTGTCTTTCTACTACAACATTGTACTTTAAAATATTTTTTTAATTACCCAATAATAGCATTTTACTTTCAACTTTTTAATATTATACGAGTCAAAGTTGCTTTGTATATAGATAACATAGCTATAGTCATGTTGATTTTTCAAAATACAATGTTGTAATAGGAAGAAATGAACATATGATGCTATAATAATCAAATCAGTAAAAGTGCTTTGCCATATCTTGCAATTAACCTTTTAATGAATCTTATGCTATCTACTATAGGCAGATTATGATTGCCATAGTAAGAGATATTAAGTTATGAACATAATAATGTAATTTTATGATCTTAAAGCTGAAATTTCCCCCCTCACATAACTCTTCCTTTTTTCCCATCAAGAATTTAGGAACGCCCATAAGTCCAAGCACAATAGATTTAAAGGGCTGATAGAAAAAAAAATATTGCTAGAAAGAATAAACTTTATTAAATTGGAAATTTGGAACCAAGATTTTTTATTGTAAAATAACCTATTATGATTTTTTGGAGTTTGTGATTGAATCTTTGATCTAAAGTTTCGTTTGGATACTACATTAACAACATATTCATAAATGAATAGACAGATAGGTAATTTAATTCTGTGAGTTAATGTGAAACAAACAGTGTTATGCAAAATGCAAGCCAGTGATACTGGAACTTGTGATGTTGGTAGAATTGAAAGTCCCAACCGAATTTCAGGGCACTGTTGCTGGAGACTTGAACATGTAAAATTACTGTGGAAGGTCATTTTTGTCATTTATCTGTTTGTTTAACCATATTTATATTTATATATTAATAGTATTATATAACTAACAGGAGAAAAGGAATAATTGTTGGAAATGACCAAGATGGAGATGATTCTGTTATCAATGCCCTTGTAAGTAAATCATATCAATTATCAGACAAACCTTACACCTCAGTCATTAACACTTAAAAAAATAAATATATTTATATGTTTTACTTATTTTGAGGTTTATATTTCGGGTTTCAGGTCCCACTGAACAATATGTTTGGATACTCAACAGCTCTTCGTTCCATGACACTGTTTGTTTATATCAATGCTACTTCAGAAAGCTTGTGTATAATATTCAGAACGTATCCCTAGAAGGCCAGGCTATAATTGGAATGATGCACCTGGTAATTTATTCTTTGTGTATTTTAGCTTTAATGTTTCTAAGCAGTACATGTGTTTATCTTAAGCCAAAATAGGAAGTGAAGTTTAATTCTTGAATTGTTTTGATATCAACGTTAGATGTTTGTGTATGAGGAGAACATTTACATTAGATAATATGGACCACCAACCCCCCTCTTGCAGTCAACGTAGTTTGTATGGATTTAACCAAAAGACTCAAATGCCCTTGTTAACAAATGACCATACTTTTTAAGTCTACAAGTAGTTAAAAGAGTTAAAAGAGTTTTGTTCAGTTAAAAGACTCAAATGCCAATGTCAACTGTGTTTTTATATTTATTTTGGGTGTATTTACATTTTACAGTGGATTGGAGGTGTCTAAAAAGCTGAAAAATATTACATGCTTCTTGTTTTAATATTTTATATAGGTATGGGCTGTATTGAAGCTTGGATTCTTGGAAAAGGGTATTTTACTACATGTGTATTAAATTTTAATATTTTATAACATAGATTGATGATGCTTGAAGCCTTTTCGAATACTAATGTGTTGATGATGAAAACAGGTATCATGTGGAAACAGAAGCATAACAATAAGAAGTAGAAACAAGAAGGTGTTTCTTAATAGCAATGTCGTATTATGTTATATAGTTAGGGAAAACTTCTTAATAACAATGTACAATCAGATCCCCTTAATACCAATGTATTATAATTTTTTGACATGATTTTATTGGATGAAATTGATTGTTTTGGTATATATTTGTTTCCATATTTTTGTATTATGCATAAATGAGTATCGTGAAGACGCGTCGTAAATGTATATCATAAATGGTTGCTGAAGTTTATGACATGCAAATGCGTGTCATCTTCATTTATGACAGGGGCTTTAATGATACACAATGCGTGTCCTAAACGTGCGTCGTAAGGTTACGACACGTAAATGCCTGTCGTCTTCCTTTATGACAGGGCCTTCCTTGATACGCATTGCGCGTCGTAAATGCTTGTCATAAATGCGCGTCGTAAATGCGCGTCGTCTATAGACGACGCGCAAAAGCGTGTCGTCTCTCGTTATGACAGGACCTTCCTTGACGCGTATTTGCGCGTCGTCTGAGCGTTTTCGACACGCATTTGCGCGTCGTAAAAGGCTGTTTTTCTAGTAGTGAATGATAGGAATCAGGAGTGAGGACTCGATATCTGAAGATCAAGATATGAAGTAGCCATAGCGTTATGTGGTATAGCCTGATAGAGGTGTAGTATAGGTTGAACTTGAACGTCTATGTAATCGTTCCAAGAAATAATATAAACCTTAGTTATGTTATCTGATGTGTTAAATGATTATGTGAAATACTTGTATGGTGACTTGGAGAACTGCGAGACATTACTTGGGACGAGTATGAGTAGGTGTGAATGGTAGTAGAGGCCTATACTACCGGAAGCACATGACTCGCACTTGGATCAGGGAAAGGCACAAGGTTACTAAGGAACTAGTAATTGTTCCCGCTTTGTTCATGTATGTCGTTATCATTGTTTCGGTAATGACTAAAAAGATGATTATTATTCTGACCCTAGCGGTCATATCAAATGGATTCCGACTAAGATGAGTTAGTCACGTGGTTCAGGGAACCAAGTTCGATGTAGTATCCCACTCAAACTAGAAGATTGGGGTAAAAGATAATCGAAGTGATCAATAGAAGTATCGCAATCGTTGTTAAAGTAAGAAGCTTGTAGCTAGAAGTGCTACACGCTAGAATGTGATATTATAACATTAGAACATGAAGGAAGGTATATTCTGTTCTGGAATTTGACTCTAAAAGACCTGAGTCTAAGCACTGCATCATACGATGAGAGGTCATTTAAAAACATGACCCATCAGTCTATTATGGTAATCGGAAGAAAGAACTTATCTTAAGTTTGTTAACAAGAAGAAGGAGTCTCCAATAAAGATCGAGATTGTGACTTGAAGGTCACGATTGAAAGTCCAACATGAGATCGAGAGCGGGTGTAGGATCGAGCACCGCCTGCAGATAAGAATTCCAAGAGTTAGATACTCATTTGAAGGAATAGAGGAGTTATGACTATTACCCTAGGATGAAGAGATAACATATGGAGTAATTATACAAGCCCTGTTTTGTTGATGGTTCCGGGACGTAATCATCCTAAGGGCGAGATAATTGTAACGCACGCAGATTCGGGCAAGTCAATTCAGAGAAAATAAGCGTCAAAACGACTTCTTAATAGAAGATTATTTAGAGTAAATAATCTTAACCAATCTATAGTATATGCCACAAGGGTTCCGTGCATATAAAGAACGCCGAAATCCGAGTTATAACGAAGAAGTTATGATCCGTCGAAATTTCGCGACAAAACCAACAGGACGCTGTGTGACGTAAAAAGTGAGTTTACGATAAAGTAATTTTTAGCCATAGCGATCTAAACGAAATTCGTAGTATACGTTAAACTGAGAGCGTGCATAAAAAGAACGTCTAAATCTGACTTCGTATGAGGAAGTTATGATTTTCCAAGATTTGGCACAACAGTACGCAGCCCGAAGTTCGAATATTAGATTGATCGATTTTTAGCCGACACAACCTAAATGAGAATTGAAGATCTCGATAATAGGAGCTCAACGATAAAAAAAGAAAGACATACAAAAAAGGACGTCGGATGACCAAGTTATGAATTTTTAACGAACTTTTCCTGTCCCGGTTAAAAATGAAGTCAAAATTAGCCGACGGAGTCTAAACAAAAGTTGTAGAATAGTCTTGTACCTATGCATGGATATAAAGAACGTTGGAAACGGAGCTCGTATGCAAAAATTACGATTTTTAGAAGTCGGGAGTGTGAAATGCGAAGCTGTTGCGAGGGTACAGTGTACGCGTGTTTTGCGTCTGGCCCCTATCTGTACATAGTGGTTGAAAAGTATTGTTTAACACTTATAAAATAATATCGCTCGTAATTAGTCACGATAAATATTAGACTAAAACCTAGTGGTAATAATACTAGGTTTCGTCGAAGGAAATTGTATTGTTAAGAAGCGAAGCGCTGTCCAAGTTGGAATCACCACTTTAACAAGTGAGTGCATAGTTACTTTCATCTTACACATAGATACGAAGTATTTAATATCCATGTTGCATATTATTTGTGTTCCTGATATCCATGCTGGATGTACCATTTATACATGTTTTAAATGATTTAAGCTGTATATGTATTTTATATCTATGAATATGTTGGGTAGAACATGGGTTGATAAACGATGAGGGATGAAAGATGATATAGATTATTATTGGCAACTGCGTCACGATGTAAAAAGGTGAGAGATGAAAAATGATATAGACAACGAGAGGTGTAAGATGATGAGAAGCCTTGAACCAAACAATGGTCCGTTCATCTAGCAGAGTATAGATGACAACCACAGACTATTCTAGACTGTCCAGTGGAACACTAGCAGGCTCGCAACCTGTAGGTGTTGTAAACGACGTGTTCACTAGATGTACTCTAAATGTCTTGGCATCTCCGCCTAATTGATAATATTGGTAGCTGTGCCTAACTTTTGAGCTACACGTTCACCGAATGTATTCTAAAAACCCTGGCAGCTATGGACTTAGTGCCTCATGAAAGAACATTTGTGACACCAGTCAAAGTTTGGTCAAAAATAAATTGACCAATAATCATAATTGGGATGAACCAAGTGGTAGAGTTTGTAACAAGGTTTCCAAAAACATAAAGAACACTGAAATCCGAGTTATAACGAATAAGTTATGACCAATCGAAAATCCGCGATAAAACCGGCAAAACACTGTTCAGTGTAAAAAGCGAATTTTCGATAAAAGGCTTTTTAGCCTTAACAATCTAAATAAAACTTGTAGAATATGTTAAACCGAGAACGTTCATAAAAAGAACGTAAAAATCTGACTTCGTATGAGAAAGTTATGATTTTTCGAAGTTTCGGTTTAGCAGTAGACAGCAAAAAATTCGAAATATAAATCGATCGATATTTAGCCGACGCAACTTAAACGAGAATCGAAGGTCTCGTCAAAAGTAGCACAATGGTAAAAAGACAGACGAAAACGGACGTCGGATGAAGAAGTTATGAATTTTTAACGGACTCCCGTCCCAGTCTGTTTAAAATAATAATATTAAAAATAAAATCAAAATCAGCCGACGAAGTCTAAACGAAAGTCGTAGAGTATGATTTTACATACGCGTGCATATAAAGAATGCCAAAAACGGAGCTCGTATGCGAAAGATATGATTTTCGCAAGTTTTGGCACAAAAATAAAAAAAATAAGAAAAACTGGGCAAATTCGCATGAGTCAGCTTCGGACACGTCACCTCGCATGCGAGGCCTCCACGTATTCGCTTCTCATTGGACCGTAGCCTCGCGTGTCGTCTCATGACAGGTCCGAAGTCGTCACCTTTTTTCCCCATTGGACCGAACTTCGGTCCACTTAGAAGCCTACACCTGTCCGAAGTCACGTGCTCGCACCGGGTCCGATCCGCACCGCCTTCGCAGGAGCTGCCGCGTGTCCTGCTGACTCCTCTCTTCGCCTCGCCAGGTGGCTGCTGAGTCACCCTTCGGACCGAACCCTCGCACCCCTATATAAAGGGTGCGAGCCTTCTCGGATGGAAGGTTTTTTCACCCCATTTTTCACCCATTTGCACCATTTCACCCCCTCGACTTTCTCACGACCCCCAAAGGTCCTGGTATCACGTCTAAAGCCCGAAGCAAGCCCCGGAGCCCCGGAATTCTCGAGAAGTCATCCTCTCTCATGTCGAAACTCTGCCCAGTTTGAGCCGGTTTTTCGTCAAACAAACTCTTTTCCGGGAAACGAAACGCTGCCCGAATCACCGCTTTATCAAGTGAGTTCATACCCCTATCATATACCTTTTAAAATGGTTTTATATGCTTTTTAGGGGGGAATACAAGTTTAACACAATATTAAATTGTGTTAATAACTGTATGTGATAATAATCACATAAAGAATTTTCGTATGCTTTTAAGAATTATCAAATACTTTCAAAATAACGTGAAGCCATGTTAAATCTTTAAAGTCATGTAAAAACTCCGTTAAAATTCTTTGAAAAATGTTTTATAAGCTATTTCAAAATATAAATGCCAAAGTCATGTTTATATATGTATAAATATATAAATAAGACTTGAAGGGCTTAGGACTAATGAATTATCTTATATCCTTTTCCTTGTTTGGATGTGGAATTAAGGTTGTGTTATTTGTCCGAAGGTCGTTTCCTTCTTATATATATATATATATATATATATATATATATATATATATGAGTCTAAAAGGTTACTCCTTTTACTATCATTACCTTTGTATCAGGCTGAGCAAAGGTGATATTCCATAAGAATTCATGCTAATCAGATAGAACATATAAATTATAATAGGTATAATTTATGATTCAAAACTAAATATACAAGTATGATTCCGACCTGATACTTTATACTTCCAAGGAAATTACCAAAATTCATTCAACTATACCAAGATATGTATAATACCTTTAATATACGAACAACATATTAAAGAAGTAAAGATACATCATACCTAGTTTGCATTAACAAAGGTACTATACAGAGTACCAGGGTTA